CGCCCGCTATAAACTCAGTAAGCAGAAAACAAAAGCACAGTATCTTGTGGAGAACAAGATAAACAAACAAACCTACAGTGCGCGGTGCAGTACTGGGTAATAAAACATATACAAGCGTTAGTTGGCGTCCTACACTAGCTGCGTAGAGCGTATCGTTTTTTTACGCTCCCAATGAGCGTTGTTGGCTCTCTTGTTCTATTTATACTCTTTGGTTATACCCACTAGACATTACAATAGCTTTGGGGACTGATTCTGTCTGTCAGCATTGGTGTATGCTCTATTAACTGACCTATGGCACCAAGCTGCAGTTTTCACATTAGGAATTGATACAAAGCATAAGAAAAACTGACTTGTTTAAATTAGATACTGTATTAATGCATATTTTAAAGAAACAAACCTAAAAGCTTAGTGTCAGCACACAGTGTTACAATGTGTTACACTGTAACACTGTGTGCTGACACAGTGTTACAATGTGTTAACCAATCAAGGCCTGCTGTAAACCTAGCCGAAATCTTGGCTTCTATACAATCGCTAAACGCTATTGCCGACGGCTTTCGGTGATGCTGACTGATCGGTTGAATTGGGGCACCTTCCTGATTGCGTCAGGTACTGTACGCAGTACAACGATTACACAGAAAACAATGTAGAGACAGTGTAGCGATTTTAAGGAAAACAAGCTTAACACTTAGAAGTTTTGAAGGTCAAAGTTTTGAAATCAAGTTATCACGCTTAGAAGATCTACTGAGAAGCACACATTGGTTGTAAAACTTGTGCATTTGTTACAGCTATGGAGCAAATTTTCATTACAACAGTCATACACAAAATAGTCTGCTTATACTCACTGTGATGCGTGTCATTTGATGTTTTTATGGAAGCAGAAACAAATGCACCAAATCCAGCATTAGTCTGTGCGCGAATCTATTAAAATAATTCAATAACATAATAATACACCATATGTACAACATTATTAAATGTACAGTACATCCATCACCTACACAATATGTACATTATATTATATCTACATAATATGATCATCATTTATACATTCATACATTATTTACACATTATCTACAATTAACGTGTCTCTTTTAGAACCAACGTGTGTAATAAACTCCATAGTAAGTTGAGGAATACAGAATAGATGGATGAAATCAGTTGTTAGTGCATCGGAACGCACGCTGGTTCGATCTCGGTGTATTAGTCTAAATTATGCTTAGTTAAATACTTTCTACAATAATGTCTTCCTTTAATTTACTGCATGTACAATATTAATACAAATCATGATCATAATTATCATTATGTATACCATTTTCATTACGCACATCTTCTACACATATGTACTGTGTATTACGTGTAGTGTATACTATTTGTGTTTCACAAGTATATCAAATTTACATCATGTAAATCATATGTACATTGAGTGTTATCACATGTTAATTATTAATTTTACATCCATCACCTACATGTAGTGTATATTACATGTAGTGTATATTACTTGTACATCACATGTATACTAATTATACATCACATGTACATATATGCACTTCATACCTTACATTATGTATAATACACATAATACACTTACATATACACATAATACGATCATCATGTTGTTTACATCATAATAGTAAAAATACATTACATAACACGTCATATCTTCATTAAAAAAACCACTGCATCATCGAAGAGTAGGGCGGTACCCAATGCATTTGTTTCAGCTCCCGTCGTTGTGGCCCTAAGCACTTTTCTACAGCGGCAGGTAGTTACGACACCCACAAGGAAATTCAGCGTAATGACGCTATGGTTTATTCTACATACTTTACCTTTACTTTTGAAATTTTCTACATACAATCTTACCTTAAAATTATATTCTGTCCAGTATTCTAGTCCATCCACTACAGCGTCCACTGCAGAACCAGGAACAGTTTTAAAAGTGTTATCATACCAACCATCTGTATTGTACTGGATCTGAATAAGTACAACATAATGAGTGTAAGACTATGTAGGGAGTTTTACAAAAAAAAAAAAAAAAAAAAGATGGATTGGGACCACAGCGAAGTCAAACCACCTTTAGTAGTGACAAAATTTATCAATTAAGTCAAAATGGTTGGAATTTGCCCACCTTAGAATTAAAAGAACAGGTTACAAACAATGGTTAATTTCCAAATAATAAGTGAAAGAATCTGAAATTTCAAAGTTATTGTCTTGAATTCTGATTTCATAATGTCATTTTTTAGGGTGCTCCCACAAGAATTAAAAATGTACTCTAAAGCCCTTTATTTTCATGACTACCATTTGAAATATTTTGCGGCCTTTTATTTTCACAATTTTCAGTTGTTTTTTTACAAGATGCACAAACCTACCATTATGTTTTTTAGCTATATTATAGCTAGAGCACCTGATTTTGGTGGGTTTCTCCCTATTTTTTGAGGCAATCCCCTGCCCTCCAGATTTTTAGGCTAGTTACCTAGAATTCTGATGACAAAACTATCAATCAGAAATTTGCAATTTTTGTGCACCCTTCATTTTTGCAATCGCCATTTTATCACGAAAATCAAGGGCATGTGAAAATAAAAGGCTTTACTATATATATCAAAAAAATTACCTGATAATTCAACAGAACTCCATTAGGATTCTCAGGTGCAGACCACATGAGCTTCACTGATGCTCGCCCAAAATCATCTGGTGTGTAGTTTGATACATTAAAATTCCGTGGCACACCAGGCACTGCAATAAAACAAAAAAACATGCACAAAGAATAATTAACAAAAATAATATAAACTTGGAAAAACGTACTTGGAAAGCAGAGTGGAAAAATATTGTAAAAAAAATCTGCAGCCCAAATGGCGTGAGCTGCATTCCTAATGTGTTTTCCTAATGGTTCCAGACAGCTGCTTAGATGTGCTTTACCTACCGTGATCTACCGTGATACCGAGACTTCTGAAGCCTAAGCTTGTGTGTCTCTCTGGGTGTATCCTCCTTCAATTCGTACATACGGGGAAAATGACGGATGACGCCAACACTTTTCCAAACGGGACTTAAATTGATTTAACGTGTCTGCCTCAATCACATGGCTTGATAAATTATCCAGATATTGCACACAGCATTTGTAAAAAAATTCTGACGCAGCCTCAGTTTTGAACGAGGTAATATAATTTTTAGTTTATGACCTCTAGTTTTAGATCTTTTGACAAGCTCAAAAAAAGTATTACTTGGGATTCTATCGATTCCTTTAAGTATTTTGTACACCTGAATTTGTTCAGATCTTCGCCTTCTAAATTCTGAAGTGGGTAGATTCAGCATTTTTAATCTTTGTTCATATGGAAAGGGCCTAGTCAGTATGTGTGGCAAAAACAAGCCAAACCAGTCACTTATCGCAAATCCTGTTTCAGAGATAATGGCCAAAACATGCTGGAATGTCAAAATTTTTGAAATCTATTTTATTACACTAAACTAACCCTTATATATGTAATGCTATGCTGTTTTTCTCCTCATTTTCAATGTTAAAACAGACATTTGTAATGATTTGGTGTTGATTTCTGCATGAGAAATGCCCAAAATCATAAACTTTGAAGGCTGACTTCTCAATTATTGTTCTTTAAACAGTTGTATATTTAAGCGCCTGTAACTTCTTAATGAAATGTCGAATTTAAATGTTACTTTTAAAATTTTACAACTCTCATTTTACTAAGAATCTTGGGTCCAAGCAAATTAAACCGAGAGAGGAATGATATTCAAACCCAAGTCAAATAAAGATTATTTGCATTAGGTTGTGGGTAGCTGCGCTATTAAAAACAAAGGTCATGTTTTAAGCAGCATCAGAAACATCATGACATGGGCAAGACACTCATAATTAAGATAATCATATTTTGAAACTCACCATCTTCTAAAGTGCGAACAGGATCGGAAATAGCTGGCGAGTAAATCTGTAAACCGACAACTGCGACACTGAACACATACTCTGTGTAAGGTTTCAGATTATTCCAGTCGTAAAATGTTGTAGAATAATCTACATTGATCGTTCCAGCGTTAGGCCATGTAGGCATTGAGGATTCCCTTCAAATTAAGAGTGATATAAATATATTTAATATTTAATTGAAGCAATGGTTATTTAAAAAGAAATAAAAAAGCTCTTCCAATTAGGCACCTAGATATCCCATAAAGTTTATAAAAATTCTTAAATTGTCAGATAGCTTATTACTCATGCATCCGCTGGTGGAAAAAGATAGTTTGTTGTAAATTTCAATTGAAAGTGAATAACATATTTACAAATAGAAAGTAAATATTTTAAATATCGAAAACGCTATTACTGTAGTAAGATTTTTAGCTCAACACTGCAAAAGGTAGTCAGAAAAAGTTACCACGTTAAAGGCAGAATAAATAAATAAATAAATCAGTGTGAAAAGTTAGTGTCTGTTCGTGAAAACAATAAAAATAAACCCAGCATAGGTTGTTTACACGTACAGCGAAGTTTGTGTCTCTTCATGAAAAAGAAAATCTCCATTTATAAACACAAACTGCATCTTAGCCTATGTTTTACCATTGTAGTCAAGTGTGATTATATAGGCCTACAAACTATAAAGTTAATTCTGCCTAAATCATTATGTTTTACTAAAATAATTCCACACTAGATGCATGTGTATTATAGGCCTATTCTAAGTTATACTGCAAGTAGGGAACAGCTATGCCTAGGAAAGTTAGGGAATCTAATCTTTAGATTTAGCCCTTCCACAACCAGGCCTTATCTAGCCAATCACAACAATTGCAATGCCGTATGTGTGTTTTCTGATAACCAACTGAAAGTATGTGTCCATTTTTCTTGGTTTGTGCACTATGGCTAATTACATTGGTCTAACTGACTGAATAGTGCAGTTGCACTCTTCAAAATTATGTGAACAGTTAGAGTTTGATGTACAAAATGCCAGAGAAAAAAAATTGAGAAAATATTATTTTTTAACTTTGAGTATCCTCATGGTGTCAGTGATGAAATACCTCTTTTATCTCCAAATTAAAAAAAAAATCAAAACATTTGCTTTGACCTAGCATGTGACATACATATGTTTCTTGTGTGATAAAAAATTTGGCTTCACTCTAGCTGAGACAACATGGAGCTTTCGATTTTCTGTGACGACGTAATTCTAGAACGGATTCACTTATCCATGACTGTGTCTTACGTTCTCTGCACAACATAGATTCAGGCCATAATGCGTCCTTCAAGGGGACAAGATACAATGTTCTCGCACACGTAGATGACTTCTTAGTAATGTAATTACGTTCTACGTCCTCAAAAGCTCCCCAATATTTTGCTACCTGTGCTTCTCTTTCATTGGGAAATTGTCATCAGGACGAAGCATCGATGATGCATGATTTACAGAAGAAAAAAATACTAGCAGCTATATTTTGGGCATACTTCATTTAGGCCTGTGATAGTAAGCCTTAATTATCACTTTCACACACACACACACACACCCCACAGCGATTACATGTTGTTTGATTTTGCCTCTCCATATATGGACCTTTCTGCTAAGCCCCGCCCCTTGGATATTGTTGCTAAGGTCCCACACACACACACACACACACACACACACACACACACACACAATCCCGGCCCTGCTCTGATTGGTCAGTTAAGTTTGATTGACATTTCAGAAAGGTCAATTATAGAGAGTTTGATGCATGGTTGTTGCTACTATTGTTTTAAATTGTAATGGTCAATCATCGAGTTACATATATGACCTGACCTAGGTCAAGGTTTAAATTGTCCAACCTTTTGAGCTAGTTTCTATAAAATAATTTATCCAAATGTAAATTTGCATCTTTGCCCGGGTTTTGTGGACACATGACATACTTTATAAAAACACAATGTATTTATTTTAATCAACAATAACAACTGACATAAACACTTGATTACCTAGATGCTTAACGTATTATGCGATATAAATATTCCTAATATTGACAAAACACCGTATAATAATAATAATGAACATTTGTTTTGCGCCGTATCCATCTAGAAAGATCCTCATTGCGCATCGACACAACAGTGCACTTCAAAAAGTTTAACAAATGTAATATTAATTCAATTCATTTATTTAATCAATAATCAACAAATATCTAACACCTACCTCTTTTGCAATTGGTAGCTATATGAATCAGGTGCAGGATTGGGCTGTAGCCAAATCAATCGAACACTACCTTTAGACATTGGTATTACCCTGAAGTTTCCCACAGTATAGTTAAAATCTTTTGAGGGAGGAAAAGGAGATAGTAATTAATAACAATATTATAATAATAAAAAAAAAAAACAGCAAAAAAAAACACAATAAAAACTACAACTCAACAACAATGAATATACAGTATAATAATAAGTTATTTTAAGTTAATTTTTAAATCTTATTATACTATTAAGGGATAAGATTTCTATGAACCAATAAAATTAAAAACATTGTACTGCTGTAGAAGGCATTAAATGTAACAAGAAATGACTTTTGGTTCATGTGCTAAAATCATGTAATAGGGACAGGAATACAAAGTTGATTGAAGTGAAGTTACAATTTTACCACATTAAACCAATAAAAAATACACAAAAATTTAAGAATATACATAAGTTCTTTGGGTATAATAAGCCTACCCTTTGAACTCAGAGGGTCAAAAATAAAAACAATACAAAGTTAGAAATGGGTCAATGCCAATGTGATGCATTTTTGCATAACATTTATTAAAAACTTAGTGCTTAATATCTAAGATCAGGCCTATATCGGAGAAACTATAAAATTTAGTACCAAAATAAAGTTATAATATTTACTTAAAGTAGTACTTACCGCAATTCAACTCATCAGAGCCGTCTGCACAGTTGTGGATGTGGTCACATTTCTGGGTCCATTGCAGGCACATCTCCCCATCATAACATTGGAAGTATGGGCAAGGTGTAGGTGCAGTTGTATAACTAGATGCTGGTGTAGCTAAGGGTTTCAAAGGATTTTAAATTAAAAAAATTATCATAACTGCTCTGTGAAATTTTATATATATATGAAAAAAAAAATTAAGTAAAAAAAAAAGTGTATAAGATTACTGTCTATGTTGACAAAATTTGTTTAAGCTCTGTCTAGACAATCAAGTTTTCTTTGACAAAAACTGTAGTATGCCCATATATAGTCATGATGTGCCTATATATGGTCATGATGTGATGTCATCATGACCATATTTAGGCATGTCACATGTTTTTGTCAAATAAAATTTGATAGTCTGGACAAGGCTTTAGATAGCTTTATATGATGTAGCAGTTAATGGCCGTATTCGACTGGTTGTTTTTTTGTTAAACCACGCCCACCTGCGCAGTGGTGAAATCCTACGAAGACGAAAAGAAATAGACATTCGACCAGCTTACTTACTGCTAAATACTTTTTTGAACCATTACCACTTCAAATTATTTAGTCCTAATGTATCATGACATCTGTTTGATGGTGTATTCCCAGAGTTACCAAATCTCATTCTAAAATACTATTATTTCTGGGTCAATTTTTAGATTAGCTAGAAAAGAATTGTTAGGAATTTTTGCAGATATATGAAAAGAAACTTGACAACGCTCAGGATAATTAGATTATGTTAGATTATGCATAATGAGCTCCACAATAGGCCCATGTCATTTTACATAATGTAGTATTTGGTGCGGGGTCTGTCTCTTATACACATCTAGAGTTTTTGTAGGGTGTACAGTAGGCTTAGCATAATTGTGACAGGCCTACTTGCACTTCCCTGTACAATCAACACGACCAATGGCATGTCAGCATTTGAATCCATTCGTACAGGAAGCTATTAATATATTACGGCTATATTATTGCAATATTTGTTATGAAAGGGTTACCGTAATATTGCCAGCCTCGTCTGTCTGAAAGTGGCTTACTACTTACGACAGTCATACTCATCACTGGCGTCTATGCAATCATTGTATCCGTCGCATTTCCAATCATACCGAATACACTCTCCATTAGTGCACGTGAATTCATAATTAGTACATCTTCTTTGAGCCGTTGTATACCACCAGGGAGGAGAATAGGTTGTTGTATCAACTGTTCATATAATTTTAGGAAAAAAAAACAATGTAAGTAATACTGAACTATGTTAATTATAAACATAGTAGTTTAGAGATACAAACTAGCTAAATTGATCAAATTGAAATTCCAAATTATTATTTCTAAACTTTGGAATTGAACTGACTAATCTGACTCTGTTAAGTTAAAACATACGTAGGTGATTGGATTCAATTTAGAAATTCCTTTTGAAATATTTTCTGCATTTCAGAATTTAACTCAATATAAATATGAATGATACCGCATATGCTCGTGTATAAGAAGAGGCCTAAAATGGGGGGTCATCTTAACGCACGACATACAAATTTCAGATTTATTAAATCATGTTTGTTTGGATCATCTGTAACACATGCATGTACTACGCTGCAATGAAGCTACTAAATGTTAGTATGAATGAATGCAAATTTAAGTACGGGGAAAAAAAATTTAAAATCTCATAAATTTGTATTATTTTGGAGGATTAACATTGCATTTGGCTCCGTTTTCAGCCAGCTAGATGCAATATCAAGACCATAAAAAGCAGAAAATCTTCTCAAACTCGGGGGCCGTCTTATACGCTGGTCGCCTTATACACAAGTATATACAGTAATACAAACTCAAATACATAAATGCACAATCACAAGAATACTTAAAAAGAGACTAAATGTCCCCTCACACTTTGAGCAATGGCGCATTGAAAATGGTTCTCTTGCAATAAATGAAATATCTTAAGTATCCTAATAACAAATATAATATAAAACATAATACAAAATTTAAAAAAGAAACATGACACTTGTAAAAATTATCATTGATTACAGAGACAAATGGATTTATCTATATTATATGCAACTTAGCACAAGTTTGGCAGGGCAGAGTTAAACAGAAATAACAATAACATATTTTCTAAATTACATCAAATATTGGAATTAACACTTAATAGAGAGCACTATACAGAAATGGCTAAAATACAGGTTGACATGTACTGCGAGTCCTATGTTTGAGAGTCAGAGCCTCAATGCTACACCAATGGTTTTCAACATAACTTACATCTGCAATCTTGTTCATCAAAGTTATTTCCGCAATCATCCTTTCCATCACAGATCCACCAATTCCAAACACAGCGTACAGATGCTGCAGGTCCACACCAAGTCTGCAACCAACCACAGTTGTAAGCCGCAGTAGTTGGTTCTACAGTGGTGTCTAAATTCAAAATGAAAAACACAATTAAAATGCAATACGTACATTATTTTATTCTTACACAGTTACATTTAAAGATGGCTAACAAATTATATTTATGATGAAAATCGCTGATTTGGATTTGATTGAAAATGTGTTAGTCTGTGAAGTTCTGCAATCTGTCATTTAAAGTACTTCAGGTATGTTTAGACAAGTTAAAGTAAGATCTGAAGTAACAGTTTACTTGTGTAGTAAGCCCTTGGACAAACAGACACAATGTTTTCATAATTGTTTACAATTGCAGGAACTTGTGCAAAATAACCACTGAGACTTGAGAGACAATGAAGGTGGTGATTATCACTTCTGGGAAATTTGCATAATATAGTTATTCCTAAGTTGTGAACAAGTTTTGAAGAAGAACATTATGCCCTGCAAAAAGCATCATGTGAATCCCCATCTGAAGTACAACTCTATTCACATGAGGGAGCTTTTTAATAGTACGATGATGCAACGCTAGAACGGAATCACTCATGCGTGACCTGGCGTCCTACTTTATCTGCATACATAGATTTGGAATAATTGCGTTCCAGAATCTACTTGACGAGGTGACCGTAACGTTCTCGCATACGCAGATGACTTTTAGTGACGTCATTACGTTCTACATCATACTGTCATCGTGCAATTTAAAGCTTTCTATTGTCAAATTTTCACAAAACTGTTGCATGTTAATACGTAAGTCATTATGTGCCTATGGCCAATGCTATCAATGCTATCATGACTATATTTAGGCATGTCATATGTTTTTTGTCAAATATAATTTGATGATCTAGACAGGGCATTACACTCGCATATATTTGTACATCTGTTGTGATTTTACTTTAGGCTGAAGATCGTCTGAAAATGACTGTTGTATTGTTAAAATGAGGTTTAGAAATAACCACACACAGTATACTTTTAACTGACTGAAAATCAGCAGAATGTTTAATTATGTTTTACTTTTCATTCCTTCTACTCATTAAGAAGGAGCATTGGGCTGCATTGTGCATAATTAAATTCAATTCGAATACTCCTACTGTAGGTGGAGAGAGATAATCATACATAAAATATGCAAAGTGCATAGCAAGGGTGTTAAAACCAGGAATTCATAGCTAAAAGCCCAAATCACAACTGCTGATTTGATTGATTGACTAACAAACTGAACCTTTTTACTCACCATAACAATTTCTTTCATCCGACATGTCACCGCAGTCATTGTCACCGTCACATTTCCAATACCAAGAGATACAACGTCCATCACTGCATCTGAATTCATTGCCAGTGCACCAATAATCACCGGTTGTCCATGGGAACGAAGTAGCTGAAAGACATTAGAAAAAACAAGCATATACATGTATAGAGATGTGTATAAAGGCAAAACAAAAAAGTAAACTGTGTTGCCAATAACAGTGGGATTTGAACCGAAAGTCAGGCCAAAATGAGTTGGAGGGCCAAACTGAATTTTTGAATTAATACCGAGGGCTCTAAGCGAACTTATGGTGCAAAAAACTTTATACATTTGACCACTTCATGCTCTGTAGCTTTGCAGTGGATGCATAATTAATCTGATCTAATTTCTGGATCTAAAATTAAAAAAAAAAAAAGATTTTTAAAACTCACAACAATCATATTCGTCTGAATAATCACCGCAGTCATCCACGCCGTCACACTTCCAATAGTACGGTATGCAGTGATCATTATTACAGGAAAATTGGAAGCCAGAACAAGTACCGTAATCAGGTGGGCTGTAAGTTGTTATTTCATAGGTAGCTAATAAAAAAAAAGGTATAGACCATTTTATCAGGTTTATTTTGAAAAAGCGCCGCCAACGTCTCGCAACTTACTGGGGGACTTCCAGCAGACAAGCCTGAGCAGCTGGCTAGTAACAAATAGAGCACCACGCAGTGGATAGCACCGCTAGATATTTTTCCATAGCACTGAGTAGAAAACAGATACGATCTTGCTAATTACTGTAACTACTGTATATGTAAACATGGATATAGCTTTTTAAAAACTTATCGACTTGTTTTTAATGTAAACATTGTGTGCTTTTCCGTTATAAAATATTTGTGCTCGTTAATAATTTAGTTTTATCGTTCATCGTTGATGGTAACTACATCTGTCTCTTATACACATCTAGATGTGTATAAGAGACAGGATTACGGTACTTGTTCTGGCTTCCAATTTTCCTGTAATAATGATCACTGCATACCGTACTATCTGTCTCTTATACACATCTAGATGTGTATAAGAGACAGGCTAAGTCTGAGGGGGCCTAGGCCTACAGTTAGCAGCTTCTAAGCATTCTGATCCCACTCTAGGCCCTGCACAAATTTGTTTTTATCGGACATTTTTCCCTTCTTAAATACCTAAATCGTG